CAAATGGCACTAATGGGCTCAATCATATCGGAGACCCCTAAGAAACTCGGGTATAGCTATCCTTAATTTAGAATGACTGACTAAAGTGAGGGCAATTAATCAGTGTCACCTGTATACCTAACAGTTTACCATGTAAATAATTAGAAACAATAATTATTATAAGTATACATTTTCCTATACTGAAAATGTATTTCCATTAATACTTACCACCTCTCACACTTTAACTAGACATTGACCAGGTGAAGGGGACAGTGAGGGCAAGACCTACACAGAAAACACCTGTATAGAAAAATATGTGTGCAAAATTGAGATATAATAAAGCATACTAGTGAGTGTCCATGCTACTTCTGGAACAGGTATGCTCTTTACCCAGATAAAGTGAAATCTAAACATAGACAGTAAAAGCCAACCAGCTACAGAGTCAACAATGTTCATTATCATGAGATTAGTTGAGGCCCCAACCACACAGATAAGGTTCCACGTCTCATTGTTGGAATTATAGGACTGTGGACTCAAAGTTAGATCCCAGGTGTAGTGGCTAGGGCATGAGGACTGCAACATGATATAACTGTATAACAGAAATATGATAGAAGGGTATGCAACCTGAAAGTTACAGGATGTTGCATGCCGAGCCAACATTATTACGAAGAGAAGGCAAGCAACATCTAAGTGAACAAACTCTCACTCCAACCTAAAGAAGCACAAAATTCAACAAACCAAACTCAGAATTACAGACTCAGGCACCCAACCTGAAAGATACAGAATATTGCATCCAACAGGACAAGTCTTCTACTCCAACCTGAAGCTCACAATGCAACAAACCAAACTTGGAATTAGAGAGCCAATACAGATTTCAGTTTGTAATCCTATCTCCTCAACCTAGGAGGCAAGGTAACACCTCCTGTCCCCATAATTACAAGGAACATGTGGAACAGATGAAGTTCAACCAATGGCTCATGAACGTGATGCTCTGTGTGGAGAATTACGAGAAGTCAAGGACCCTCTTCCATAATCATGGAAAATAGGAAATGACGAAAAACGAAGGTTCACACTCACACAATTAGATAGTGAAGTGTCATCTCTGAACCAGAATTATGAGGCTCCCGTGTAGACTGGAACGGCTCCCCACTTGACATATGGGGAAACCATCCAAAGTCAAGGGTGGTACGTTAACCAGCTTTGCCCTCTTCTCCTTGAGTGGAATAAAGAGTACAAACATCACTCAGGAAGAATAGACCTCTGTTTGCTACTCCAGCAACTGGAAACTAACAGTGGTAAAAACTCCCTTGCTCCATTACCACTAGAAGAAGAGGGGGGGGACTATCATTAGGGGAGTCCTGAGGAACTATGCTCCAGAGACAGTGCAATAGGTGAACCACATTCCCTATTTTGAAAAGCAAACCAACCCCGATTTGTTCAATCCAAGGGTTAGCAGGTATGGGCAAAGTCCCTTTATGCTTTATGCATGACAGTCCACAAGTGGCAGTCCAGTATTGTGTGTGATATTTAATATAGAACAATAGTTCACCACCCAGAAAGCACCAAGGCAGTCTCATAGAACACCCCACCTCAACAAAGCTCGTTGCTACTAGGAATTTAGTTAGTCTACTGGTAGCTAGTGCAGAATTGTAAAAGCACACCTGACCAGACAACACTTACTACTGAGTGAGATCCAAATGAGAATGACAAGAAGGTCCCTGAAAAGAAAAGAAATGAAATGAAATTACTCACCAATGTCAAAATAAAGCTGGGGCATATAGAAGAGCCACCAGGGATAGCCAAAACCCATTGGTGGAGGAGACTCTCTAGATCATGTAAATAGTGTGATATAAAGGTGTTAGGTGTGGTCCATATAACAGCCTGTACAATTTCCTGCGGAAGGTGATTCAACTGAGCTGCCAGGGACATTAATATGTCAAACTTTATACTAGGAGGCCCAAAGAAGTCTCCGTTCTTCCAATGAAAGATCAGAGTAAGCTATTCAAACCAACTGACGAATCCAACTTGTCAAAGTGACTGGGGATAAGTCTTATGAAACTGAAGGAACCTAATGGACAAATAACTTACAACGTGATCCCAAAATACTTCAATGCATGCCACATAACATCAGAGAGCCCAAATAGGACAGCTTAAAAGACAATCGGATCAGCAAGGTTGAATAAATGGGATATGGAGGGAAGATTAATAGATTAAGAGAAAGCCTTATCTCCTTCCCTAGCTGCTGCAATTTTAGGTAAAAAGGACCTTGTCTGGATACAAAAGAACAGTTGAAACAGTACAGTATCCTTACAACATGGAGTGTAAACACAACTAAACTTCGACCCCGCTAGCCAATAACAGAAGAAAACATGTTTTAAGTGAAAGATGATATAGTGAACATGACCCCAAAGGATCAAAAGATGGATGTGATGATGTATGGAGAATTACTGTGATATCCCAGTTGGAAACCTGGAAAGGGTGACAAGAACAGATAACTCAAAACAATTTGAAGACAAAACTGGGGACTCAAAAACTTTTCTTCACGTAGAAAACCAAAAAGGAGCTGATAAAGCAGCTTTATACAGGACAACAGATGAAGATGCCAAAACTTTGTTAAACAACCATGTCAAAAAGAAATGTGTTGCACAGTGGGATGCAAAGGCTAACATCCATGTCCGAGAGACTACTGATGATAAGTAAACCATTTCCTTTTATAAATGTCTAATGGAATGTATTAACCCTATCAATATGGGTAGCTCTACATTTCCTCTATGTAATTCTGCTAGTATTTCCGAGTTATTTACAAGAGAAAAGCTCTTATATTGTTGGAGAGTTTGAAGTGTTATGATCAATAGTATTTTCGAAACAGAGATTAGATTTTTTAGACCCAAATATAGCATAGTTAGGAAGCCTGGTAAATTACAATAGATTTTTTTGGTATCAATATAATCATTAATAATTTTTTGGTATGCATATATAAAGTCTACAAAAATTATTTTTTTTTCTACATCGGTATATAAATATGGACAAGGCTAAAGATGAGGGTTAGCAAGCATGACTCACGATTGCAAAAAAAACTTCAAAACATTGTAAGTAGTGGAGAGCATTGTTTTCCAAACATTTGTATTTACTTTTCTATGTTT